TGCGCTAGAATAATGTGCAACGCACGTTCGAGAATTTTTTATATTTAAATATAATCCAGACAAAACAAACAATAAATATATTTGTGATATCATACCGACGAGTTCGAAAAGAAAACGACGAATTACTGTATACGGTTTGGTCGTTCGTTATGGTCCGCAAACCGGCGCAAAAAGTTAATATAACCTATGCGTAATGATCAACTTGCTTACAAAGTAATTAAATCGATGTTTAAGAGCACGCGTGTATTTTCATTTAGCTCCGTCAATTTGAGACAGGTGTCCGAGAAACGCCTCGTAAACTTAGTGTTAATGAAATTACGAATTCACGCGAACGTCCTATAGTGTAATAATGAAACGAGGGTAGCGTTCCCCTAACGTAGGGAGCGTGTGCGTGAAACGTTAGAAAAATATTTCTACCGTCACTTGGATCGATCATGGACGGAGAGGCGAGGCCTGAAAGGTTAGAAGAGGAAAACAAAAGTGGTGGCGACGACCTTGACTCCTTTCGGTTGTTGTTCTTAAGAGGAACGTGGGCGGTGATGGTCGTTGGCGGGGGTTGCGGAGGACGCGTGAGAAGGGTGGCGGCGACACGACGTATCGGTGTCTTCCACCGGATTTAAATAATCCTCGCTCCGGGAAATCCTCTTTACGTCCGATTCTCGCATCCTATCGTGTAATATTCCAGCCACATAGGGATTTCGCTAACAATTTCTTCAATCGATAACCAACGCGTCTACACGTTGTCTCGAAATCAATCGATTGCCAACGACGGATGTTCTACCAGCCTGTTTACAAGTTAGGTTAGAATGACACGATCTTCTGAACGTTTAAAAGTTGCAATGGTCGTTTATCTTTTTTTTTTCCTAAATCGAAAATTAAATTCAGAAATAAATTCGTTTCTTCTACTCTGGATAATAGTTTGCAGGTAAGGTGCATTACGTCAATGCGCCAGTGACGCACGGATATGACGAAACGTTGTCGTCGGTCCATCTAATTGTGACGAGACTATAGCACGGTGAAAGGCGCGCAACTACGGCTAAAAAGTCCACGGGCTGTGGCAATATTGTGACGCTGAGTAAGTCCTGGCCAGAAGGACTTCTCCGTCGTTGCTCCATCAACCGAGCCAATGTTTTTAACACTCGTCAGACGCGCAGAATGCGCGGGCAACTACTCGAAAAATTAATCATATTTCCCATTCGTTTGGACAGCAACGAGTTTCGCCTTTCTCGGAGAGAATATTCCGATAGAATGAACAGGATGTAACTTCGAAGGATATTTCTGTGAGATTTTCTCGTCGGAGCCTCTTCTCGCACGTGATGAAGAGAAAACGATAACCACTGTCCTCTTATCTCAAGATTTCTCTGCCTCCGGATGGAATTACGCAAGGTGTAACACGTGGCAACAGATAAGATTGAGCGCGTAATTAACAAGAAGACGATGTAGTTTGGAAGGTAACCGTGACACCATTTAACGGACCTTGTCCGTGAATCGGCAGTGAGACCGGGCCCCTGACCCCATCCTACGTACCTGCTGGTGGCCCGCGAGCGACGGAGACTGCGATCATCTCCGAAGTTTTACGACGACACACGAGGGCGCAATCGATAGGGCGGAGGGGGGGGGAGGGGGCCAGTCGTCTCCCCGTGCAGTTACGGTATCTGTCGTACACCGGCACGAAAATTAAAGATCCGCCTGCGTTACGTGCGCAAAAAGACGTTGCCCGTAACAGGAAAA